AGTAGTAGTAGCAGCAGCAGCAGCAGCAGCAGCAGCAGCAGCAGCAGCAGCAAGATCTTACTTTGTGAAGACATCAGTGCTGACGGGCTCGATAAGGGCACGAAAAAGGGCATTCGCCTCTGATATTGGTTCGATCGGTGGTTCCTGTTCACCTCTCTCTTCGTCGTCATCATCTTCATCCTCGTCATCGTCACTGTCAGAATCGCTGAAGGCGAAGTCACTTGAGGACTCATCAGTTGGGTCACCAAGGCTCTCGACCTCGATCTCCTCCGAGTCATCAGAGTCCTGCTGCTCCTCCTTCAAGTATGGAATAATCTCAGAATCTTCGGCAGTCTTGACTCTCTTTGCAAGAGGACCAGCAGAGGAAGCAATCTCATGAGGCTGCGAAGCGCTCTTTCGTCGGCGTTTCCTTTGTTTTTTCGAGGACTTTGTCTGGTTGGGCGCAGAGGTAGCCGGTTGCTGTTCAGGTTTGCTGGATAAAACTGCCGGTTTATTAACGGCAGACTTTTCAGTCTTTGCGGGGATGGGTGATTTATTACCGATACCCTGGTTTGCCTGGGACTCCGCGGCATTCTGGTTTTGGTCCCGATTTTTCTTCCGTTTGTTCTTATTTTTCGACTTCTTCGCGCCTGCTGAGATGTTGTTCTGATTCATCTGCTGAGTTAAAAAGAACTGGGGATCTTGCATTTTCTTCGCGTCTTCAGTTAGAGACTTTACCAATGTAGCTGTCTTGTGGACCGCTTTGGCCTTCTCCTTGGTCTAAAATGAAAACAGATTGCACCCTCGTCATTGCCGCATATTTAAGCTCGCGATTTGATCTTACTTTATGTAAACAGACGCACGATGATATATTATTAACTAATAATTTGATTTGTTCGATATTATCATCCGCTTCACGATCACGGAGGCACTTCAATGAAATACAATAAAAACGGATATACTGAATAAGGTGAAGGATGCAACATTTTGAAGAAAAATTGCATACGGTAGTAGTGTGCTCGAATTTCTGTCGCCTGCGTGCATAGATTGGAATTACTTGTCAATACAAGCGAACATGCGAGTCCCAGGAAGTATTTGATAAGACGATTCGATCGCTGGGACAGCGAGTCGTCTTCTTCTCAATTGGAATCATTGAATAAGCGGTTAACTGCAAAGCAAAGCGTTTCATGATGTCTTTTTAGACAGGTTTTTTGTGCTATTTATGACCCAAACTGCAAAATGTTGTTTTTTGGCCTGCAAAATGCCTTACATGCCGGTCCAGCCGCTAACCTCGAGAGGTGCTATCTCTCAGGGTTAGTGGCTGTCAACTTGAAGAAGTCGACAGTCTTAAATAGCTCGGAGCGAGGTTGCTGCCAAATGGACAGAGTAAAGATGGCATTGCTTCCCGAATTGACGCAGCACCACGAGTTTTCTCCAGCCTTCGGAAGTGCCTATTGTCCCGACGCTATAGCTCTATTTTTACAAATATCCGCGTGTAACGTGCATCTCAGCGGTCCGTCCTCCTATACGAATGCGAATGTTGGGCTATGTGCATGAAATTGAACGGAAGCTGGAAGTCTTTGCAAACTACGGTCTAAGGAGCATTTTTCGAGTGAACTATACCGACTTCACCTCAAATGAGACAGTCCGCACTCGCTGCGACAAAATCACAAGGATATCCCAGGTCATTTAGGAAAGATGACTGAGGTGGTTTGGCCACGTTCTTCGTCGTCAACCTTAAGAGCTCAGTGCTACTACCCTCGACATGAAACAGTTACCTAATTGGAAACGTCAAAGAGGGGGTCAACTCGAAAGCTGGCTTGACTCAGTCCGTCATGACATGGAAGCTGTTCATGGACCTTCGATATTCGGTCTCCGGCACAGCCGAAATAAGTACAAGTAAAGTGCAAGTCCTCTGTCTGACGTAGGCGATGACTGTTTAAAATAATATCTGCGCTGACTAGCCGTCCGGAGCTACAACAAGTATTAATGAACACTAAAAACGTAGTCAGTTAAAACAGCAACTTTTGGCATGTCGTTAGTGACAATGGACTTTCGAAAATACGAACAAACTAAACCGGGAGTTGTGGTTTGCGAAATGACATGGTATTAGACGCAGCTGAAGATTTCAACTTGACGTATGTTTTCGTATCACCGGCTGGACGCAGAATATGTCACAGCCATACACAAGCGCCTGTAATGTCGGTTGCACGCCAATTTGACAACAAGTTCATTACATAACTCCAAGAATTGACAGGCTGATGGCCAGAACACGCGAAGCTGCGAAATATAGGGTAGTAACACACACTCTCCGACTGCACGAGAACACAACGAAAATAAGTTGCGGCTTCAGAAATAGAATCGAGTAAGAGATTTCATTCAGATCTGGTGGCCTCTCGGCCTGATAACGAGAGCTAAATGAGCGCAACTAGTGGAATTGAGAGAGAATAATTTTATGAGATTTGAAGTGGTGTCTGTAAAATTCGTGCCTGATAAGATA